TGCAGCTCTAGTAAAACACCCTTCTTCCCAAGTGCAGCACGCCTCCAGCCCACTCTGTTGCTCCGGTCTGCTTTTCTCCACAGCCTGAAGGAAGATCTGGCTTCCAATGGCTCTGCATCTTTTATCAGGGTCTTTCCAGGCTCCCTCTCCTTGGGAGATTCTGGTGAGCAAAGTATTTAGCAAAGTTCAGAGCCACACACCATCACAGTTTCAGTGCTAAGGCAGGGACAGGGAGACACTGGGCTGTGAGGTTCCATGTCAGTCTGGCAGTTGGTAGCTCCCAAGTCCTGTGGGGGGGGGGGTCTGGCACACTTGCACAGAGAGAATCAGCATCAAGGTGCAAATCTGGAAGGCTGCTGGGGCAGTGGTGGACGGCACTCCGGTGCCGAGGGGGCAAAGGGCTGCCTGGTGTGAGCACTGTCAATCACAGAGCCACAGTGACCATCAGAGAAGAGTGTCTTGGTCTTCCTTATTTCCTTGTCAGGGCAGGGGGGCACTATTAACCATTTCTTTCCTTCCACTTGTTTTCAAACCACATTCTGCTTATAAAAATGAATCCTAACACCAGTCCAGTAGCAAAACTGGACAGTGTCTGAAAAGTCATGGAATGCACATTTACCTGTCACCTCACACAGTCAGTTCTGTGTTTGATTGTTTTCCTTCCTTTCCGAAACCGGCAGTCTACTAGTCAAGGCATAGCTTCTCTTCCTTCTGCCTCTTACACTCAGTTAACCTCCAGGCTTGCTGACTAGCATCTGACCCTCTGGTTGAGGCAAGCATTGAGACTGTTTTGTCAGTAAGGAATTCTTTAAAAGAGCACTTAACGTATGAAATAAAAGTAAATTTTCTTTCCTCTCTAAATGTGACGTTCTTATTCATCTTCTTTCATCTCTTGTTAGATGAACAAAAACAATTGTCTTGAAGGAAAAAGTGAAGGTAAGCATACAAGAACACTGTTTTAAATAACATTTCAGAAATTATCAGGTGTATTTTGAGAAGTTTTCAGAGAGAAACCACCTGCCAGAAGTGCCCACTGCTGACAGTTTGAAATAAGTGTTAAGTTTGTAACTTGCCACTCTGAGACTGTGTTAAATGACACCCCCATCTACAGCCCATGCACAGTGTCTCCCAGGGGACAACTGGATCTGCCCCCACGGAAGTGTAGAGTTTGGAGAACTGGAGCTGCTCTTTATACCCCTCAATCTCAAGGAACTCGGTTTTGGAACTGAAGAATCCCTTCTCTACAGCTAAATAGTTGATCCTCACACTACAGTGGGGGTTGAACGTTCCCCGAATGTGGCATATGCATCAGAGCTGGGAATGCATGGGATTTATAATAGGGACTCCTGAGACTCAGAGCAATACTGATTCACTCTCGAAGCTTTTTGCTAGAGGATCATGGGGTTTCTGCAAATACCTTAGATTGACCCTGTAGTGAAATGTCAGTTACCATGGAACATTCCATAGCACCTCAAACTGTTTTTGAGACAGTTTAGCCCTGCATTCAAAAACATCTTTTTACACCTGTGATTCTAGTACTCAGAACGTGGAAGCAGGAAGGTCAGGGAGTTTTGAGGGCAATCTGAACTACATATGGAGCCTGTCTTCCAGACAAAAATACGTCCTAGTAATGTTGAAAGGGTTTTTAATGGAAGAACTGTTAAGCCAATTGTCTTCTATGTCAAGGGACACTTGAGTCACAGAACCTGAGTGTCACTGGCTTCATGCTGACTTGTCACTTCTGGCAGGTACCCTGGCTAGCTACCCCTCAACACACATGCACGTGCTCGGTGACACCATGGGAAGTGCACTCCAGGGACAGACACTGTTTGCATGCTAATGGAGCTCAGAGGGCACTCCAAGGTCACAATTAGAAGAGTTACATGTTTATTGACAAAATATCTCACCATAGTTTTTGGTAGAGTGGTGTGTGTGTGTGTGTGTGTGTGTGTGTGTGTGTGTGTGTGTGCGCGCGCGCGCGCGAGCGTGCGTGCGTGCTTGCTGGGGGTCAAATTGAGGACCTTGCAAGTGCTGGAGAAGTATTCTTCCACTACATCCCAGATTATTTAATGTTATCATGATGTCTTATATGTATAATTTCAAGAATAATTTAAAATTTTTTCTAACAGGTTTAACTGTAAAAAGATATGGTTAAGGGTACCTTGTGGTACATTTATGATTATTCACTAAGTTTGAGTTGACAACTTTTTTTATAATATAGATATATGTACAGTGATAATAACATTTTTTTTTGAGACAGGGGTTCTCTGTGTAGCTCTGGCTGTCCTGGAACTGGCTCTGTAGACCACGATGGCCTCAAACTCACAGAGATCCACCTGCCTCTGCCTCCCGAGTGCTGGTATTAAGGGTGTGCGCCACCAATGCCCAGCTGTGATTTTTAACCTCCATAAAACCAAAAGTAGTTTACACTAGCCCTAATCCATCCAAAGTGGAGCCTCCCTCCTTTACAGGCTGCTTACAGGGCTGGGTGTAGACAGTATAAAGGACACCATTTCTGCAAGTTCTGCCCCTACTGCTACTAAAAATTTTAATGTCCGATTTTGTGGCAACCTTTTTTTAAAAAATGAGTATTTTGCCTACATGCATATCTGTTCACTACATGCGCGTGTGGTGCCCACAGAGGTCAGAATAGGTCAGATCTACTGCAACTGGTGTCACAGATGGTTGGGAGCCACCATATTGGTGCTGGGAACCAAACCTGGGTCCTCTAGAAGAACAGCGAATGCTCTTAGCCACCGAACCATCCTTCTAGCTTCTGTGGTGATCTTCTTTGTTTTGTCCGATTTGGTTTGGTTTTGGATTTGTTGGGGGGGGATTGTGTTTTGTTTTGATTTTGGATTTGTTTTGGGGGGTGGGAATTGTGTTTTGTTTTATTTTGAGATGGGACTTGCTGTGCAGCCCAGCTGGCTTATAAATTGCTAGGATTACAGGCAGCCCATGTTCTATATCACCCTGTATCCCAGAAACTTTTTGGTACCTGTCCACTAGAACTTACTCTAGACTTCATATTTTCAAGTGTGATGCTGTGAGGAACCTTAGTGACATGGGTAAAGCAGTGGTCTCTTTTTTGTTTTGGGGGGAGTTGTTTGGTTTTGTTGTTTGGTTTGGGGTTTTTTGTTTGTTTGTTTGTTTGTTTGTTTGTTTGTTTGAGGCAGGGTTTCTCTGTGTAGCCCTGGCTGTCCTGGAACTCACTCTGTAGTTCAGACTGGCCTCAAACTCTGAGATCCACCTGCCTCTGCCTCCCGAGTGCTGGGACTAAAGCTGTGCACCACTACTACCTGGCTCTAAAGTGTGGTCTTTGACGTATTTTTTTTTTATAACTGAATATAAAGCATCACAGCTATTATATTTTAAACACTATAGTTGTAAAGTATAAATTATTCAGAGCTTCTAGATTCTATCTGAATTTTAATTTCATAAAAGGACCCCATGCAGTTCTGACTTACCAGTGACAGAGATTTTGGAGAATAATGCTTGGGATGCACTCGACATAGGGGACAGGTTGGCTCCACAATAGAGAAAGTGAAATGCGGCGACAGGTATCGTTTTATATCATTAATGTTGTTTTTAGCATGTCTCAACCAAATATGTAATAAAGCAAATTTCAATAAACTGGTTGTTAAACTTTCCTATAGTAACACTGTCTAGGTTTTCTATGTTAGTGAATGTTTCCTCCTGCCTTCAGATATGACTTGTGAAAAATTCCAAGGCAGAGTTTTATCAGAATGCTGTCAGAGCATCTTTAAAATGCCTAACAGCAGGCTAGGTCCTTGCAGATCTCTGACTTTGTCAATGTGAAAATAAGGACCTCCTCTGCTCCACCTGCCACACCAGAGGCTGCCCTGCCCAGGGGTTTGTGCCGGTCCTGTGAGTGGGGGCTGCACGCGCCCTGTTCTCGTTTAGGGGCGTTAGTTAAATAACCAAGGTTTAGTCTTCCAAACTGGTCACTGCAGAGGACTTCGCTGGAGGACTCTCAACAGCAGAGCCTGACGATCTTCCACTGAAGCAGTCGTGGGTGGAGTGAGGAGGGTGTGGCATCCTCATAACCAGGGGTCTCAGGCACGTAATAATAATACTTAGGAGTACTGCTAATTTCTGGGTTAAAATACCCTTCACCTGGAAATATAAGGTAAATTTCCATTTCGGTAGTTTCTAAATCACATTTAAATTACTCCTAGAAAATACTATTTGGAGTATAGTACAGTTTGACTGTAGTCTGAACATTTAGGGTGTGAAAGTTGGAGGATAAGAAATTTCATAGTAACTCTCAGGCCAGCCTCGACTGAGAATCTATCTCAGATTAAAAAAAAAAAAAATGCTGTTTTAAGTGTATCTTTAAAGTTTGGCATGTACTAGTTGTTTATTTCCCTTATGAGAATTAAGGAATTTTCTTTTTTAAATGTGGGACAGGATATTACTTTGTAGCCCAGGCTGGCTTTAAATTCATGATCTTCCTGCCTTAGCCTCCTAAGGAAATTTCAAGATTATAAATTGTCAGACGAATTATTGCTCATCATTGGCCTCCTAGGAAATTAGCTAAAATTCTAGTCTATTCGAAGGCAAACACTGTTTTAATAAGGAAAGGAGTTAGGCATTAGTTTTTTAAAATTTTAATATGAGAAACTAACAGGAAAAAAATGCCCCTTGGTGAAAAGCTCAGCAGCTGGAACACAGAATTGGGAAATGAGCAATTTTATGTAATCTAGCTTTTTAAAAAATCAGTAGTAACACAGGCCAAAAACTAGGGGTGCCTCTCAGGTGAGCAGTTTGGTGATGCGTGTCTCTGCCATCCCTGGCCTCCACTGAGCCATGTGTTGGTCCCTGAGACTGGGCAGATTAGCTAGCAGGGTGTTTCCTTTGGTGTCCACACACATTTCCCATAAGAGCTAATTGCAGCGCGAGGTTGACAGTCTAGTGCGAGGGAGGCTAACCTCACAGCTGTTCTCATTTTTACTCCACCCTACCTCATTCATTTCTAGGCTTTTCTGTGGATAGTCCTCAGCCTTCTCTCTGCAGCCAGAAGCGCCAGCTGAGCCTGAGCCCTGAGCCTCAGGCCTCTCTGGGCACAGCTGAGCAGGGCCCGTCCCCTGTCCTAAGCCCTGTCCTCAGTACGGCCAGGATGGACAACCAGGAAGAGCAGAAACACAAGGTGGGCCACTCTTGAGACTGACGGTGCTGCTGGGTGTAAACCCTAACTGGGGAGCCTGCGGGGTGGGCAGAAAAAGACTGCTCACACCCCGTAACCCTGGTACAACGCAACAACAGACTCCCTTTCTGAGGCACTGGTGCTCTTAGAAGTCAAGGCTCCGGGTACACACATCTCCTCATTTGTGTAACAGGCCGTTTTGGCAGCCATGGGTTCCAAGAGTTAGGCTGGATCCTGAAGCTAAGTGGGAAAGGGACAGGCCATTTCCCTGCAGGAGCTGTGGCCTCTCCCTACCTGTTCCTTACTGCCCCCTTGCTTACAGGTGAGTAGCTTGAAGATGCCCTTGCTAGAATGTTGGTTGGGGCGCAGGAAGATCTCATGGGACACTTCCTGGATGAGAAGGGGATCTGGCCAGTGTTAGATAAAGATAGTAGTGGCTGAAGTGGGGATTCCTGAGCTTTGTGACAGGACATGACATGGTGGGCCTGTAGTCCCTGTAGTGAGGGCACAGTTTGAAATAATACAGTACAGAACGAGCAAGCAGAAGGCCCCACTTACTCATAGGTGCCAGGGACAACCAGTTTGCCCTAAGGTAGCCAACCTGGGTTGCAGCTTTACAGGCACTCATGAAGAATGGTCTGGGGGAGGGAATAGACCTAAAATAGAAAGCCATTGTGATCTCTTGGGAGCCACAGCAGGATGAAGAGGGGGTTTTGAGCATCAGCCAGGTGAGTAATAGGGGTGCATAGGTGGGACCTGTCTCAGCACCATCACAGAAAAGCGCCACTTAGAGCACCTGTGCCCCGCTCCGTTTGTATTTGCTATCTGTCACTGTAACATGAACACCAGAGACATCAGTTTATGAAGACACAGCTTTTACTCTGTCTCACAGTGTGGGTGGTTTTAGCCCGTGGTGTGCCGCTCCGCCATGGGCTGACCTGATGGGAGCTCCAGCTGGAACAGAGCCATTTATTTCATGGCCAGGACAAGAAAGAGAGGGCAGGCCGAATCCTGTTAACCCCTTTGAGGACATTCCTGTCCCCAGTGTCCCAGAGTGCTCCAACTGGGTCCTACCGGGTCCCACCTGAAATTCACCACCTTCCCATAGTGCTAAATTGGAGACCAAGCATGTCTGCATGTCGGCTCTTCAGAACAAATCCAAAATGTAGCAAGATTTTAGCCCAGTTATCCAGAGGATGGTGGGGTCAGTGGGACATTTGAGACACCTTAGCAGGGTGAACAAGACCCATTTGCACATGGCGGGCGGGTGTGAGGCAGGCCACTCCTTTCTCTGTGCCCAGGGAGGCTGTAGGATCCCATCTGGACTGGGAGAAGTCCTTTGAACAGGGAGATGGTCACCAAGGCTACCGTGAGGCCTGCAGGCAATCGGTGGCCTACTCCCAGGCCTACAGATCTGCCGGCAGGGCCACTCATGCTTCATTGACCACTCTGTGTTTGGTGTGAACACAACCATCTTGTGGTCATTTTTATTTATTTTGGAAACAATCTTATTTCCTTGGTACCAAAAAAAAAAAAAAAAAAAAAAATGGATCATGGGAACTCTTTTTAACACTGAATTTTAATGTTACCACATTACAAAAAACAAACAACCCAAAATGCTCTGGGCCTGGTTTCTGTAGCACACACAGAGTCAGGACGTGCTTTGGGGTTTCAGACTATGGTAATTGCCATTAAGACACCATCTTCCATGGCCTGATTGTCCCAGGCCAAGGCCAGAAGTGTCCAAAACCAGCAATCAGAATCTCTGTCACCCAGCTCTTCACTGCTGAAAGCTCATGTCAAGCCAGGTGTCATTGGATTTGAGTTTTAAAAAATGTTTTATGGCGCAGAATACAAAAACTATGAGTGGTTATAAAAATAAGTGAGCTCTTCTGCTGGGGGAAAGGGGCCACACTCCCGGAACAACATGGGTCCTGCAGGGTGGGCCCAGGGGTCCAGGCTATCACATCGCTCCCAGCCATTGATGGAGCCGATGCAGGCAATGCACGTGACTTCTGGGGAGAGGATGGCAGCACTTGGCTCTGAAGGATGTTGGCCATATGGATCACAGCGGTGCATCCCTCTGATGGGTAGAAGGCACTACATTCCATGGCTCCAAGGCACATAAGATGAGAGCACCTCATGACTCCTTTATTCCAGGGGCTGTGAGGGATACTGCAGCCCCGTCTGCCCTCCAGGTCCTGCATGCACCCTGCGTGCAAGCTTATCGTAGTTCATTCACATTGGCCCCAAACCCTGCAAAGCACCAGAGGTCAGATGACTCCTTCATCCCTCTCCTTCCTACATCCCTCCCTGTGCCTCGGCGGTTGTCCTGTTTGCTGCCCCCTCTACCCACTCCGTGTGAGTTTGTGGCCTGATCGCATTCTTCGCAGCCTTCAGCCTTTCTGCCTTTTTCTCTCCGTGGCAGTGCTCTGCTATGATTTGCAGCCCCTCCTTGACTTTGCATGTTGCTTTTGCACATGGGACAGGCCAGCCCTGATGGGGACAGGTCCAACTTAGGTCCTGTGAAAGCCAAGCCTGGAGTTGGGCCTGGCATCTGCTTCCACAGTCAGGAAGCATGTCAGCCAGCTTAGCCCTGTGCCATAGGCACACTCAGGGTAGACACTGGTAGTTTTCGTTGTTACTTTTATGAGGTAAGATTAATTATTCTCTTAATTAAAAAAAGTATGCTGAGTCATACCTCCAGCCCGTTTAGTTATTTTAATCATATACTTACATTTTTGTTTATTTTGCCTGCATGTGTATATGTGTACCATGTGTATGCAGTGCCCACAGAGTCCATCAGGTTCTCCTGGGACTGGAATCACAAGTGCTTGTCTGACATGTGGGTGCTGGGATTTGAACCTGGTCCCCTGCAAGAACATCCAGGGCGGTTAACCATTTCTGCAGCCCTTAACCACATACACACATTTAAACATTCACTCATGGTTCTTTATCTTGTAATCAAATAATTGCATAGCAATTATTTTCTTCAAAGAATAACTTACAATGAGGGTGAAATGTTGACAGAAATGTAGGTGGGCTTAACTGGGTGCATTTGTTTACCAGTGAATCTCCATCTAGAGAGATGGCTGTGTAGTTAAGAGCCCTTGCTGATCTTGCAGAGGGCTCAGTCTGAGTTCCCAGCGTCGACATCAGGTGGTTTGCAACCATTTATAACTGAAAACCAGTGACCTAGCCTCTGCAGGCACTTGTACATGTGCAGTACATAGGCACACATTCAGACATGTACAAATAAAATAAACTTTTTACAGTGAGCCCCTCTAGGAATTATGCAGGAATTTCCAAACTCCTGTCTGCTTGAGCATAGCGTGTTACAAACGCCCGGCTCCTTCTGTATTGAAAGGGTGATGCGGCTCATGTTCCTCTCTGCCTCTTTCAGCATATGCCGGAAGACGAGGCCTATTTCATAGCCAAGGAGATTCTCGCTACAGAACGAACCTATCTGAAGGATTTAGAAGTTATTACTGTGGTATGAAACCTTAGTCCTTGATCGTTTTTTATTTCCGTAATGTGTTTTAGATATAAACCCAGAGGCACCATCCTGAGACGTCTTTAGCCATCTTGAGACTTACTTATGTAAATTCTGTGGAATATGCGTGCCTTATAGCACGATGTCTAAGTCATGATAAAGTCCATTGTCTTAAGTTCTCACGGAGCGGTGAAGCTTAGGGTGTCTCTGTCCAAAAGCGTTGACCTAGAATTGTTTATATCTGAAAATTATACAGTCAACGAAGAGGATACATGGAGCGCTGGTTTAGGCTGTCTTTACAAGCTGGAGGAACTTTGCTGGGTGCCCTGAGGTCAGAAGCCCTCAGAGGCGGGGTCTTTCAGTTCCCAGTTGAGCCTCTCATGCCAAACTCCTCCCACAGTGGTTCCGAAGTATGGTGGTCAAGGAGGATGCCATGCCTGCCGCCCTGATGACCCTGCTGTTCTCCAACATTGACCCAGTCTACGAGTTCCACAGAGGTTTCCTGAATGAGGTGGAGCAGAGGCTGGCGCTCTGGTAACAGTCCTGTATATCAGAGGGTCTTATTTCCCTGACCCCACCCCTCCCCAGGACTCTCCCCCAGGACTCTCCCCCCCCCACTCTCCCCCAGGACTCTCCCCCAGGACTCTCCCCCCCCACTCTCCCCCCACACTCTCCCCCACAATCTTCCCCCCCACTCTCCCCCAGGACTCTCCCCCAGGACTCTCCCTCAGGACTCTCCCACCTTCTGACACCTCCATGTAGATGTCCTTGACCTCCTCTGCACACCCAGCTGGCTCCTTGGCCTGGGTCACTGGACAAGCAGTCCCCGAGTCCTGAACTCTCCTTAGGGAGTATCCACCCTTCACACCATCACGTGCCTCAGGAAGTATCCATCTTCAGGAACTAATTTTGAACAACCATTGTTTCATAGAAGTATATTTCAAAATCCTATTGGGTGAGATAGAATAAATTGTAATAACAGTTAATTTTATTTATCCTATTCCAGGAAAGAGAATACAGGAGCAAGTTAAAAAGAAAAAAAAAAAAAATAAAAATCTGTTTTGACTTGGTTGCCATCGTACTTAGAGAGATGCATAAATGTTGCTGTCAAATTAAGTTCTTCCCCCTGGATACACCTCCATTCTTGACTGACTGCTAGGTGTAGTGACACATGCCTGTAATTCCAGCACTAGGGACACAGGACAGACAGGAGAACCCATGTGGGGGACAGCTTCATCTACACAGTCAAGCCCTGTCTCAAAAAAGGAAGGGGGACTATGACCACAGCAACTTGTTACACAAAACCATGGTATTTTCTGTAAGCTTCCATGGGTATATAAACTGCCTTCTTCCTCTAATCCAGGGAATCGCCCTCCAGTGCCCAATTAAAGGGTGATCATCAACGAATTGGGGACATCCTCCTCAGGAACATGCTTCAGCTAAAGGTAAGACAGGTCTGTGTGGTAACTCCAGGCCGAACATGAAAGCTGTGAAGGAAATGTCTGTGGTGGTCTAGGAACAGTGTCCCCTCACAGCAGCATCCCCAGAACCAGCCCATCTCATCATTCTCCACAACAGGGCTCCCTCAGAAGAGGGTTCTTCTCGGCACAGTACACGCTCCACTCAGGACAGTGTCCAAAATTGTCCCCTGGACAGTGTTATACGTGCACAGCAGTGCTGTCTTAGCAATGTCCTCAGCACAGTGAAGCACAGTCCCTCTCAGGGATTCCTCGAACATGGCTCCCCTGGAGTACTAGTGCTGTCAAGAGAGTCTCTTCAGAAAAGACGTTCTTAGAGCAGGGTCCCTCAGAGCTGCCTCTCCCTCAGAGTCTAATTCCTTAGCAAGATCCCCTCAGAACAGCAGCCCCCAGAACAAGGTTTCACCTAAGACATGCTTAAAACAAAGGCCTCTCAGAAAAAGATGTTCTTCCCAAGAGAGTATCCCCTCTAGATCAGCTCTCCACAGAACATGGTTTCAGGAGGGGCTTACTGGGTGCAGCTTTCCCTTCAGAATGCCTTCCTCACAGTAGTATTCCCTAGAGTGGCCTTACCACTCAGAACAGCTTTTTTCTAAGCATGGTTCCACTCAGAACTGAGTTCTACAGAACAGTGATCTCCTAGAAGGGCAGACCTCTTTCCCCTCAGAACATTGCTCTCCAGAATTAAGGTTCCCTTCTAGTACAATGTTCTTTCAGTGCGGTGTTCTCAGAACAGCATTCCTGGGTTGGGGGGGTGGTACAGTGGTTAGAGCACTTGCAGCACCTACAGAGGACCTGGGTTGGGTTCCCAGCACCCACGTTGTATCTCACAACCTGTAACTCCAGTTATGGGGGGCCTGGTACCTGCTTCTGAGAGGTAGAAGCAGGCAGAGCCAGGGCTACATGGAGAAACCCTGTCTCAAAAACACCGTGTGTGTGTGTGTGTGTGTGTGTGTGTGTGTGTGTGTGTGTGTGTGTGTAAGAAGGGAGAAGGAGATAAGGCTTTCCCCAGGAAGGGGTCTCCTCAGAATATGTTTCCCTCAATTTGATGGATTCACTGTTCACATCATTTCTCTCTGAATAGGGTTCCTCATATCCAGATTCCCTTCACAATACCTTTCCCCAGAGAACTGTTTCTTTCTATAATTTCTTTCTTTTTCATTTTTGTTTTGTTTGGTTGCTTGCTTTTTGGGTTTTCAAAACAGGGTTTCTCTGTGTAACAGACCTAGCTATTCTGGAACTCATTTCATAGACCAGGCTGGCTTTGAACTCACAGAGATCCACCTGCCTTTGCCTCCCAAGTGCTGGGATTAAAGGCCTGCGCCACCACCACCATCCCAGCTTCAATATAATTTCTTAAAGCAGTTTTCTCTTGGAGTAACATTCTCCCAAAACATTTCCCTAGACAGCTTTCCAAGCAGACATATACACCTCAGAATCAGGTTTTAGTCGGAATATCTTCCTCTAGCACATGTATCCTCAGGACAGCGTCTTTTTAAACAGGGCTCCTGTCAAAGCAGTCACCCTGGAGCAAACCTCCCTTAGAGGAGTGATCCTCAGAACATGCACCTTCAGCTTAGCATTAACCCCAGCAGGGTTCCCCTAGAATCATGCTTTTATCCAGCACAGAGTTCTCCTCAGAACACAGTGCCTGAAACAGAATTCCCCTAGGCCATTGTTACCTTTCAGCAGAGTAGCCCTCAGCACAGGGATCCCTTCAGAACAGTCTCCTCAGGGCAGAGTTTCCCAAACCATGGTTGCTCCCCCTCCCCAGTAACGGAGTCAGCACTGGGCAGAGAGAGCGCAGATGCGGTTAGTTCTTGCCCAGTTGTCAGGGTGCCCCATAGGCGAGCCCCCCTAGCTCCATTCTTTATCCACAAATGGATGAAACGCTGTGGTCTTCTGCCACGTGAGAGTGCAGTGAGGGATCGGTCAGCAGTGGCCCTGGAGAGGGACCGGCTGTGGAACAGCTGAGCCCTGGGAATTGAATGAGGCTCCCACCAGGGTGGGGTCTGCGATGGGGAAAGACGGAGTTCTGTGGAAACAGAAACTTGGCGTGTACCTACCAAAGCGCCCATCCCCGTTATGCCCGTCACACTGGGGGTCCTTCCCGCTGACAGGCCCCCATCCTACCATCGAGTCTTCACCTGAGCGTTGTCTCTATAGGCGTTTACTAGCTACTTCCAAAGACACGACGAGGTCCTCACCGAACTGGAAAAGGCCACAAAACACTGTAAAAAGCTGGAGGCTGTCTACAAAGAGTTTGAGCTCCAGAAGGTCTGCTACTTGCCTCTCAACACGTTCCTGCTGAAGCCGGTCCAGAGGCTCGTACACTACCGCCTGCTGCTAAGCCGCCTGTGTGCTCACTACTCCCCTGGGCACCGTGACTATGCCGACTGCCATGGTGAGTGAGGGCACGGTGACTTCACTTTGAGGGCGGACTGGCAGTGTAGACTACGCTGGCTCTGCCCGAAGCGGACAGCCTCGGTGTTCATAACTGCCTGCTGGCCTCGCCCTCTTTCAGCTGCTTCGGAGAAGCATGCTCCGGGCTTTACCCATGCAGGACCTGCCTTTCTGCCCAGGCACGGTCTCTCTCAGCCCTGACCACCTTCCATGGGGTGGGGTACTGTGACCAAGGTGGTCGTCTTCGGTCGGGATCACTTACAGGAGGGCACTGGGGGGTGGCGCCTATCCCAGAGTGGCCTCTTTCTTGTGGGTGTTTCTGTCCTAGAAGACTTGACTCTAAAATTAGCAAATATTTGAGCCAAGCAGCCTGTTGGAAGTTTCTGGCATAAGTAAATCATATATTTTTATTTGTTAAAGGGACAAAAGAATGAAGTCTAAATCTTGTTCATTTACAAATAAAAATTTTAGTTATAGCATAAATTTAGTACAAAAACATTCTGTCCATAAGTCATTGAAATTGTTGTCCTGCAAGGAGTCTGCAGTCCCTCAGATTAAAGCTCTTCCAGTAGGCAGAGAGTGGGGGTCTTGTTCAGGGCTCTGAACTGAGGGACCTGTCCACACAGAGGCTCTGAAGGCCATCACGGAAGTGACCACCAGGCTCCAGCACAGCCTTACCCGGCTAGAAAACCTGCAGAAGCTGACAGAGCTCCAGCGGGACCTGGTCGGTGTAGACAACCTCATAGCTCCTGGGAGGGTGAGTGGCTACCCTTGGGAAAGATTTATGCCTGTTGTCTCTAATCGAATTTTATTGATGTAGTCTAAAACTCGACTTTTTAAAGTATGTGATCCAGTGGCTGTCAGTGTGCCCACAAAGTTATGCAGTCAGCATCACTAATTGGGAACATTTTCATTATCCCCAAAAGAACCCCCAAGACCCGTTAGTGGTCAGTCCCCATTCTGGTAGTATCCGGTATGGCTGAGCCACCTCGCAAGTGCTGGGAGACTAAAGAAAGCAAAAGTTCACACCTCTAATCCCAGCAATCGGGGCTGAGGCTGGAGGATTTTGAGTTTGAGGCCAGTTTAGGCTGCATCGTGAGATTCTGCCTCAGAAGTCTGAGATGGGAGCCACAGAATAGTGCTTGTCACACCGTCTCCCCTTCTCTGGGTTGTCTCTTTACCCTCATTGGTTATATCACTTATAATATTAAAACTTTTCATTTTAATGATGCTCAAGTTATCGTTAGCTGTTCATGCCTTAGGTGCCATATACCAGGAAATATTTCCTAGCCCAAGATTCGTCCCTGTTCCTTTTCCTTCTCCTTCCTTTCTTTGGCAGGGTCTCATGCAGCCCAGACTGACCTCAAACCCACTTGTGTTCAAGGATGACCTTGAACTTCTAGCCCTCCTGTTTCCCTGCCTCCCCCTCCTGAGTGATGGTTTTGCAGTGTGCATACAACACTCAGTTTATGTGACAGCTGGGATAAAACATGCGTGCCTATCGTGCACCGCCTGAGCCGCGTGCCCAGTCTGACCTACGTCGTCCAATCTGATCCCTTTGCACATGGGTGTCAGGCTACCTGGGCACATCTGTTGAGTCGTCTTACCTCCTTATAAAAATTTTAAAGCCCAGTGGGTGTGGGGGCTCCTTTCTGGACTTGCAGTTCTGTCCCAGGGGTCAGTGTGTCTCTTGTCATTGTGTCGTCACCAGAGCCTTTAGCTCTGGACTCAGTCCTGTTGATGGAGGAAGCAAGCTTAGTTCCTGGCCCTGCTAAGCACTAACTGCTACACGAGTTCACAGACAGGGTGGCAGACCTTCCCTTCTCCTAGGGAAACAGTCTCCTAGGGCTGTTTTTCATCTCATGTCAGTAAGCAGGCGGTCTTCCTCCGTGTGCTTACTTGGTATCTGGAGGGCTATGCCCACCCAGGCTTCTGTCGTTGTGTTCAGATTGCCCCCCCTTTTTTTTTTTTACTTTTTTGTTTTTGTTTGTTTGTTTGTTTTGAGACGGAGTCTCACTGTGTAGCCTTGGCTGGCCTGGAACTACACTATGTAGACTAAGCAGGCCACAAACTCATAGAGATCCACCTGCCTCTGCCTCCCAAGCATAGGGATTTAGGGACTGCACCACCACACTTGGCTCCTTGACTTTGGAAGCGTTTGTGGCAATAGGGTCCCTTGTCTTTAGTCAGTGGTCCAGTGAGGGGTAGCTAACTCCAATGTTTGTGGAGACTTTCCCTTCTCATACCTGCTCTGGCCAGCCTTTCCCACAGCAGAACTCAGATGGACTCTTCCTGACCTAGTCTCCCTGTGTCTCTCCACTAGAGAGTGTACCTCTCGGTTCCCTTGTCTCAGGGCACGCAGTTGGCTGGGGACCAAGTTGGCCCCAGGATGGGGCTTGGGTAACTAGGGGTACATTTACAGAGTAGGATGCCCCAGAGGGCTGCCACTCAGCAGGGCTTTAGTAAGCCAGAGGGGCTGGCAAGACAGCTCAGCAGGATGAGATGGTGCAGGCCTGACACCCTGGTTTGTTCCTACGTCCCACAAAATGGCCGGAGAGAGCCAGCACTGAGGACTCTCTTCTGACCTCCACATACATGCTATGGCATGTGCACACAAGCAAGCTAGTTAGCTAGAGGTTGGCTCCCAGGACCTCTGGCCCAGCCAGCACACGGACGGCTGTTGCAGCTTTGCTCACGGGACCCTAATTACCTTTCAGGAGTTCATCCGGGAGGGCTGTCTTCACAAGCTCACCAAGAAGGGCCTGCAGCAGAGGATGTTTTTCCTGGTACGCTTCCCACTGTGCACTGGGGGAAAGAGTGGGTAAAATCCCATCGGGACAGCTGGCCCTCTGCCTGCCAGCTCGGAGTCACCTGGGAAATCAGGAGGTCTCTTGAGAGTGAGCAACAGGAGGTGGCTGCTTAACCTGGGCTGTCCGCTGTTCCTATCCCACATCCTGGGACGACAAGCAAAGCCAACATAGAGATGGCCGTGTGGCTACAGAAATGTTCTGGTGGCCCATCGACAGCCAGGGCGTCTCAGTGCTGGCCTAGAAATGGGGGCACAGAGGACCTGACCCGTGTGACCTCGTCTTACCAGGTTTCTTTTCCAAGTGCCCCAGACTTGATCTGTGCAGATGAGGAGCCGAATGTCTGCACCAGCCAGAGCTCCTGGCTGCGTTGACTAGCTAATCCAGACCAGAGGGGACTGGGGAGTGGCCCCCCCAATTTTACTAGCTCATGTGACTCCTACATAAAGGGTCAAAGGGATGAGTTTCCCCCCAACAATCTCCAGTAGTTCCGTAGGTCTGGTAGACACATCATGGCCATCTGTAATTCATGCGAGTCTAACTATGTTTACATTGAAACTTTGTCCCATGTTTGTACAATTCACTTGTCTAAGGCTGTCCATCGCTCAGTTCTCAGATATGTTGCTGTATACAAGCAAAAGTGTCACAGGAACCAGTCATTTCCGGATCCGTGGCTTCCTTCCTCTTCGTGGCATGCTGGTGAGTGGTCGGCTTACCTGAGGTTGGGTGTTCGGGTACTGGCCTGGGCTTCTGGCCCACCTCCCTCCCATGACGGCAAGGCTGAGGCCATCTTAGTGGAGCAGGTTACTTGACATCAAGGGGATCTGTAAGGAGTACGGTTTTTCCTCCCGCCGCCAGTCTTGTCCCGCCGCCGCGCCAGCCCCAAATAACACACAGAGACTCTGTATTTGATATTATACTGTTGACCAGTTACTACTTTCTTATCGGCTAGCTCTGTCTTAAGTATTAACCCATTTGTGTTAATCTATGTATTTCCACGTGGTCTTCTTACCCGGAGCTGGCTGCCATACTCCCTTCTCCCTACTCTCCATCTTGGCTCCTCCTTACTACTTCCTCTTTCCTCGTCTCCTAGTCCCTCCTATCTTCCTTTCCTATTGGCCAACAGTGCTTTATTATTAACCAGTATGAGAAATTAACCAGTATGCCATGTAGTTACATTGCTCACCCGAAACAACCATCTCTTGGCGGGACACAGGCTTGTAGTCCCTGTACTGTGCTTGACACAAAGCTGCCTGTGGCTACCGTGGCTCTCTGGACACCCTGCAGATGTGCCCATGGGCATGTCTGACATGGAATAACCACTGACTTTAACATAATCATAACAGTTTGTCAATGTGGCCTTTGGAGGGTAATGAAACCCAATTTAAGAGCTGCAGAGATGGCTGAGAACTGAGGAGGGCTTGCTGCTCTTCCGGAGGACACAAGTTCAGTTCCCAGCACACATGTCAGGCAGCCCACAGCTGCCTGTAACTCAGGCACGGAGGGACTCACTGCCATCTATGAGCACCCACACACACAGGCACACACTCACACACACAGGTGCACACACTCACACACAGGCACAATCACACACACAGGCACACACACAGGTGCACACACACAGGCACACACTCACACACAGATACATACACAGGCACACACACAAGCACACACTCACACACAGGCACAATCACACACACAGGCACACACAGGTGCACACACACAGGCACAATCACACACACAGGCACAATCACACACACAGGCACAATCACACACACAGGCACACACACAGGTGCACACACACAGGCACACACTCACACAGGCACACACTCACACACAGGTGCACACATACACACACACAGGCACACATTCACACACAGGCACATACTCACACACAGGCACACACACACAGGCACACACACACACACGCACCCCTTTAAAAACTAAGAGCTGGAGATGGCTCAGCATTCAAGAGTACCAACTGCTCTCACAACCAACTGTGACTCCAGCCCCAGGGGATCCGACACTGCACTGTCTTATTGTCCAGGTAGGCACTGTGTGCACGTGTGCAGATACACATAAAATGAAATCTCAAAACAAATTTTATAAAAAGAAAACCCTGTTTAAAGTCACAGAGAGCCAGGAAGATCCAGAGCAGTGAGCACTTCTCACTGTGGGTCACGGCCCCGCTTGGGCTCCAACGAACCTTTCCCAGGGGTCACCTAAGCCCATTGGAAAAGACAGACATTTATATTACAATTCATAACAATAGCAAAATTACAGTTACGAAGCAGCAAGGAAAATAATTTGATGGTTGTGGGAGGGACAACATGAGGAACTGTATTAAAGGGCCGAAGCATGAGGAAGGGTGAGAACCACTGCTCTAGAGGCTGTCTTCCCTACAGTAGTCTAGAACCTGGCCTGGAACTTGTCCTGGACATTGAAGGCAAGGGCAGTACAGAATGTTTCCATAGCCTCTGCTCAGCCTCACAACAGATGTCTGTAACACTGACTCCACTTGCTGAGCATAGCAGGGGCCACCTCAGGAAGCCAGCCCAGGTGTTTGATGGTTCGCTTTTAAAACATACATTCCTATGGGGGGACGGAAATACTGATAAACGTCACTGTGACTATAGCACTCCAGGTTTAGCTGTGTGACTTGTCACCTGTTGCCACCGTCTGTCTACAAACTGCTTTATGAACAGCGCTGTTTTTCTCAGTAACTTGTCGTGAGCACTGCATTACATTCTGACTTCGCTGGTGTAGGGGAGGGACCTGCTGACAAGTAGAAAGCTCCAGTGTGCCTAACTTAACATGTCATTAGGCCAACATGGTCTTTCAAGAGTGTACACCACATTGCTGGGCTTCTGTCTCTCAAACATCAAGTCCCTCCTCCCAGGAGGTCCCATAATGCAAAGCACCTGTTGCTTTTTAATGGCTTTGCTCGACACTGTCCAGCAGTAGCATCAGTCAGCTACCCACAGTGAGTTCTAGATGTGTACCTGGCCCACAGTGCAGGAGGACCATCCCTCTGCCTTCCCTACCCTAGTGAGAGGGCAACATCATTTTCCTCTCTGGCCTTGGACGATTGGAGAGGCTAACCAAGTCCCTAGTCTTGGCACTTTGTTTTTCTGCAAAGTAATCACTTAGTGTGTCTGTTGCCTTGTCTCCATTTGTGCACATTAGTGAAACCTTCTCATAGTAAAACTGGCTAGTCAATCTTTACAGGCATGTGGTGTGTGTGCAGTTGCATGTGTGCATGTCTGTGGGAGTGCGGATGGATATGGGAGCCCACAGGTCAACAGTGGGCTCTTATTTTGTAAGACAGTCTCTTTGAACCGAGAACTCACTGACTAGCCAGTGGGCTCCAGGTATCTGCCTGACGGTCTCTCCAGGGCTGGGATGACAAATGTTCATTATCATAGCTGGGGATCTGCACTCATTACTGAACTGAGCTGTCTGCTCTGCCCCAGCCCTCAAATGCTTCTATCTTGCAGTAATTACCTTTCTAAGTCTCTCTACAATTTAGTGGAATTTAAAATTTTATATCCTGTAGAAGTGTTGTTTAGGAATGGTCTCTGAATATGGAGGGTGGCATTAACCATTTGTTGAAGGAATGATGGAGACATATTGCTGTGGTCAGTTTTTCCTGCCCTTCCCATGAGGGCTTCATTTAGCCCTTTTAGGCTAGACACATGCTGTATTGGCTTTTAGGTTTTGGTGTTTTTACAGGGTCTTTCTGCATAGCCCCAGTTGTTCTGGAACTGTGTAGAAAAGACTGTCTCAAATTCATGACATTGCCTCTGTCCATTTCCTGAGTGCGTAGGATTAAAGGTGTGTGCCATCACACACGGTACTATTGGCACTTTTTAATGTTTTAAGGTGGCTTTTGGTTTTGTTTTAGTTTTGGTTTTTTGAGACAGGGTTTCCTCTGTATTGCTTTGGAGCCTGTCCCGGAACTCGCTCTGTAAACCAGGCTGGCCTCGAACTCAGAGATCCGCCTGCCTCTACCTCGAGAATACTGAGATTAAAGGCGTGCGCCACGAAAGTCCAGCTTAAGATGTATTTTTATTTATGTGTGGGTGTGTGCATATGTGTACTGGTGTCCTTGGATGCCAGAGGAGGGTGTTGGTACCCTGGAGCTGCAGTTACAACTGTGAGCTGTCCAAGTGAACTCTGGTCCTGTGAACGAGCAGCAAGCGCCCTTAACTACTGAGCCATATCTGTGGTTTCATTTCCCAGTCTTGTAGAGTCCACTAGGCGTACTTAGCTAAGGATGTAGAATTTCTTTTCTCCATGTAGTCATTCTCCCTGTCGTTGGTGGGAGCTGCATGTTCTCACTGAACTCAAGGACTGTGTCTATTGTGTGACAACCTCATCTTCTACCTCACTCGGCTGCAGTGTCATCCATGGTGGAGACAGCCACCATGTGAGGGACTACATCCTACCCCATCTTTGTAGGGTCAACAAGATAAAGTATTCGATGTGCAAGCCTGACAACTCAAGCTGGGTCTCCTGGAACCCATGTGAAAGTGGAAGTAGGAAAACTGTGCGTGCACGCGCACACACACACACACACACACACACACACGCTATACACTTGATGACACACCCTTTTTAAATGCATTCAATTATTGCAAGTAAACTTTGGAGTCATTTAGACTAATTACATTCCAAAACACCATTGGCATCAACTGAAATCACATGAAATTTAAATACTGACATGGGGGAAGGCCAACAGTCCACGTTCTATTTAATGGCAGGTGGGATGCCAATTCAGATCTTTTATGTCGAGAGTGGAGCTCAGGGATTTTTGTCTTGTGGGCTCTGTATAGGGAACTGTGTGTTCTTTGGGTCCTCTGGAACTGGCTACATAGTTTGTGTCCTTATCTAAACTATTCAGAAGAAGAGAGTGGTTCTTGGCTTGAGAGGAGCTTGGTCATGTTAAAACAGTTTCATTGTATTGTGGAAGGTATTTACTGTCAGGAATATTAGAAGTGTTGCCTCTCAGCAGAGGTGTTCCCAGTGTGTAAAGAAATCACTTTTCTGACCTCTGATGGGATGAATTCCATCAGTAAGCTTTCTAGCATCGACCCATCCATGCACTCCATCTTGCCTGGTGCTGGGACACTTCTTATATGTCTTTAGGTTTGATTTGGTAATAGTTTATCTTGGAATTATCCCACTGAGTCATCAGTATGGTTTGGTTGAAATCGGTATGCAGTGACTGTTCTTGGTCTCTTGGTCTCCGATAAAGAGATTGGAGCCAGTTCGACAGATGAATTTTCCAAGATGCTCAACATCTTCTTTGCTTGATTTTCAGCTAATAGTGCTGGACCCACCGGTGAGTATTTCTCTAGATCAGACCTCAGTCGCTTGGCAGCAGCTGCCAGAATGTAGGGTTACGAGTGTGCCCCTGTACTTCCCTTGTAGTTACCTAGGCTTAGACTACAGCCTTCCAAGCCAGCTGCGCCTAGCCTTGTTGGCAGTCATTTTGCATGTGCCTCGGGTCAGGGCTCAGCAGCGTTCTCTAGCTCATGGGCTGTCACCTCTTCTCTCTCCTGCAGGTGGAAGAAAGCGAGAACGAATGGTCTGTTCCTCACTGTTTCACCATCTACGCAGCTCAGAAAACAATTGTGGTAGCGGCCAGGTAAGAGCCTGCCTTCTTCAGGATTGAGAACAGGACCCGCTGCAGGGATGAGGACCTCAATACCAACCCCCGGGGCCTCATGGGACTCAGCTCCATTTCCAGGTTACACGGGCAAAGGGGTATCTTCTCCCTTGTAGGCAGATGATTGTTGACAGTTGTGCTTTTCAAGACACCAACCATATGGTGTTTGAGAAGGTGTCTGTGCTCAAGGGTTCATGGCAGTTGGTGTAAAGGCACCAGCACTCCCACCCCTGGCAAGGGAAAATACTTATCATGGTGAAAGTCAGCTCAGGGGCACAGCAAGATGCAAATTGAGGCTTTCTCCTCTCGGGATCAGTGAGTTCTCCAGGTGTAGTTCCCACCAGGAAATGCCACCTTAGTCATGAACCAGATCCAGTCTTGTTTCAACATTGAGACTTTTGGTAATAAACTCGGTAGTTATAGCAACGATGCCTGCTGTTTCTCCAGCTCCTCCCAGCTCACCCTAGTAACAGGCTGGAGAAGGCATGGTCAGAAAGACCACCCTCAGGTCCCAGGGGGATGGAGCAGGTGCCCAAACCAAACTTGTCTCCTGACACAAAAGGCCAGGACTTCACGCCAGGAAGGGCTGCCCTGCAGAGACGGCTAACTTGACTTTCTCCTTTCCAGCACTCGGCTAGAAAAGGAAAAGTGGATGCAGGATCTGAATGCAGCCATCCAGGCAGCCAAGAGTACTGGTGACATGTCCCCGGTGCTGCTGGGAGGGCCACTGTGTCCTCGAACCCCCAGTGAGTTCTGACTCAAGGCACCCCAGGAGAGGCCTGCTGTAGTTCTGAGAGCTTTTCTAAAAATTGCTTTCCTGATCTTGGTCAGCATGCCAGGCCCCATGAGCTTCCCTCCCATACACAAGGAAAATAAATGGCCACGATCAGGTGGAAGGGTTCTCGGGCTATCTAGCACCATATGGTTTTTGTCTGGCTGCTGACTTGGGTACCAAGGGCCTTTCCCCCATATCCTGGAGGAGCCTCGTGGGGGTGTGGTGCCAGGTGCTAACTCTCCCCAGGATCGTCTGATGAGGTCTCTCTGGAGGAATCGGAAGATGTTGGAGGAACCCAGGGCTCCCTGGAAGGGAGCAGCCAGCACCGGGCCAACACCACGATGCATGTGTGCTGGTACCGCAACACAAGTGTGTCCAGAGCCGACCACAGTGCAGCCGTTGAGGTATGACTGTTACAAGCACACGTCCCGAGGGCTGTGCTGGCTAATAGGGAGGGAACCAGGAGGACAGCTGCCTCCTGCCCCCTCCCCCACTGGCAGAAGCCAGTTTAGGTCTCACTGTCTACTTAAGCTCTCTTTGAGAAGGGACTTCACACCAGATGTCACCTGGTGTCTTGAAAGGGTAGTCAAGGCAGAGAGAGGCATTCATCTATGGTGGATTTGGAGAAAGGCCCACTTGTTGCCCTAGGACTCTGCTGTCTCTGGTCTGCCCACAGCCTTTCCCACTTCCCATTCTGGGCTCATGCTCACCCCACTTAGCGAGCACTAGTGGCTGTACACATCAGCTTCACACACCCTCGTGTTATTCAGCCTAGCATCTCTACACACCCATTCCTGGACTTGCTCCCTCCACCTGACTCCAAGTTCTCCACAGCCTCATCCCTACTCTATTGGGCCAGGCTCAAGACTCTGCATGGGGGTCAGAGCACAGCAGATCCCTAGTGAGGCCAGAGATACCTACATATCATCGTAGGTGGGGGACTCTTGGGAAGCTAGGTAGCACTTATTAGGAAGCTAGGCAGCACATATTAGACAAGAGCCCTGGAGAAGGGAAGGGTCAGTGGGCTGGCCGGGGTGTCTTTCCAGTGCTGCACTTAAATGCCTTCTCCCACAATTTCAAAAAGCCTTCCAGACTTGGTTCAATGTGTCATCACCATCCTCACCTTCTCTTGTAGGTTTGTAAATGGTGATACATAATTATATTATGTATCAGGAAGAGAAGTATCCTACTTGAGTGTTTGGGACATCGGTTCCCAGACTAACATCCTGTTGTCAGGTCTTAAGTATGCACAAATCTTGTAGATAAAAATGCTGAGCATCAGCTGGGCGGTGTTGGCACACACCTATAATCCCAGCAATTGGGAGGCAGAGGCAGGCAGATCCCTTGAGTTTGAGGCCAGCCTGGTCTACTGAATGAGTTCCAGGCCAGGGCTGTAGAGAAATCCTGTCTTAGGGAAGACATGCAGAGCCTGTGTGTGGGTATTCTGGCTAGTTGTCAGGGTCATGGAGCTGATGACGCTGCCCAGCAAGGATTATGGTGAGAGCAGAGTGCTTTTTCTACCGACAGAACCAGCTCTCAGGATATCTGCTGAGAAAGTTCAAGAACAGCAATGGCTGGCAGAAGCTTTGGGTGGTCTTCACCAATTTCTGCTTGTTCTTCTATAAAACTCATCAGGTATGTTGAGTCTAACTGGAGTCTAGGACAGGGCACAAGACACACACCTGCTTATGTTTCTTCTTCCCAGTCTGATGCTGACTCCACCGCGATATGAAAATAGAATTAGCCTTTCTCACTGTGGGTCTTCTGTACAAACTTGCATTTTCTTGGGAGAATCAGTGGAACTAAGTGAAGGCCTGGGAGGTTCACAGCACTGGGCTCCCTTAGTGCAGACCTATATCCTATCCCCAGTGACCCTGTTCCTGTGCTTACCTCCAGGATGACTACCCCCTGGCCAGCCTCCCACTATTGGGTTACACTGTGAGCCTCCCCAGGGAGGCTGACAGCATCCACAAAGACTACGTCTTCAAGCTGCAGTTCAAATCTCACATCTACTTCTTCAGGGCTGAGAGCAAGTACACATTTCAAAGGTAACTCTGCAATGCTGCTTTTGCTCATCGCCATTCATAGAGCCAAATTTTCCAGTTCCCAGAAAACAAGGGTTGGATAACGCTTGCAGGATTTGCTTCCAGTGTATGTTCATGTTTGTGTGTGGCCACTAGTGTACATATGTACATGTATGTATACACATAGTGACAAAGTACAACTTTGGGAAGCTTTTTTTTTTTTTAAATGTTCATTGGTGTTTTCTGTCATGTATTTCTGTGTGAGGGTGATGGATCCTCTGGAACTGGAGTTACACAGTTGTGAGCTGCCATGAGGGTACTGGGAGTTGAATCTGGGTCCTCTGAAAGAGTAGCCAGTGCTCTTAACCACTGAGCATTCTCTCCAGCCTCCCCCCCCCCCCACACACACACTTATTAAAATCTCTTATTGTAGGAAGGGAACATGGGCATGTGTGTGGAAATAAGAGGACAACATTGTGGAGTTGATCAAACTCAGGCTGCCAGGCATGCATGGGAGGTGCTATTACCTGCTCATGCCTTGTTTTTTGAGAGGTGTCTCGCTTGGGGCTCACTGATTAGGCTAAGCTGCCAGCTGACCGGAGTGCCTCCTCAGTGCTGGGATTACAAGTGCACAACACGCCTTGCTTCTTACTGGGTGCTAGGGATGAAACTCAGTTCCTCGTGCTTGAGCAGCACACTCTCTCCTGGCTAGCTGTGTTTACCACTCTCAGGAAGGCATGTGAGCATATGCCCACTGGTTTGACCCTTTCTACAGGTGGATGGAAGTCATTGAAAGGGCCAGCAGCTCACCGGAGAGACCCCCAAGTTTCACCCAGGACTGCTCCCATCTCTCTCCAGGGCTGGAGGCAGAAGTCAGAGAGAAGGAGGAATGTCCTTCAGCCTGCATGGACAAGAACCTATGACCGAGGCTTGCAGGGAGTGTAGGTATCATTCCCAGAGCTGAGCAAATACAGCCAGCCGTCTGCCCACCACATGATGGGAGGCCCTGGCGACCTCTGGGAGGGGCTCTGTCCTGCCCCAAACTCCAGTGAAGAAGGCTTATGACCACTGGGGCACATGCCTGAGATCCAGGAAAAGGAAATGAGGGTTCCTCAGTTTGTTCTGAGCGTAGCCTGGCTGAGGACTGGCCCAGACATCCACTTCTACCTGTAGCACCAATAGCCAAATTCACATTGCCTTAGACAAGCACTTATCCTTATTGATAAGCTCAGGGTTAGCAAGACAGGGGTGCGGCAAAAGCCACTCTGGTTCCCTTCCCACACACTGTCGAGACAATAGGAAACCAAAGACCACCACCCCACCACCCCAAGGCCTGGGAAGGTGGTGCCTCTTCTTATTAGTTCCTAGTATTTCTCATCAACTAGGGCAGGCCTATGACTCCTGTTCACTTATGGTACTTAAAATAAAAGGACATATCCCCACCCACCAGCATCCCCTCTGCCTTACCTTGTTCTCCAGCAGGCCACAAGAGACTATCAGGTTAGATGACAACATTTAGAAGGGACACTAGCTCAGAGGCTCCATCATCAGGATGTCTCCAATCCAGGTCTTTATTGAAATGGTAGGGCTTTCAATGCTCTATGAAACTAACACTTACTGTCAGAATACTTAGCAAGTTCAATTTTCTTGAAAAAAAAAAAAAAAAAAAAACAGGCCCAAAATATTCTGAAGGATTTGAGTACTCACGAGAACACACAGTACCTGAACTGACACCACAAGGCAAGTTATGACCATCTTGGACCCCTATAAGCCCCCAAGACAATATCCCTGGTGTAGGGTGAGAGCCAGAGCTGCCCAACAGTCTCTTTGATCCTCAGTCTAGCAGCTGCAGAGGCCCAGGATTCTAGGTCACAGCAGCCTCCCAAATTGCTACCCAGTTCTTCAAGGACTCCTGGCTGCCTACCACAGCCGCAGTCAAGCCAGGAGGTGAAGAGAGGTGTCGGGTAGCTGCTGTGCAGGGCAGCACACTATGGTGGGGCAGGAGGAGGGAACCTGGCTGGTGAAGCCCATGGGCTGGCAGGTCTTTTCAGTTGCAACACAGCACAAGAAGGCTTCCAAGCTAGTCCTTTTAGAGCTCAAAACAAAAAGCATTCTTCTCCTCTTCTCCCTCTCTGTAAGAGCAGTGCATTCAGTCAGGCATTCAGCGGGTAGATGTCAGATGGTTCCTGCTGTGAGAGAACCTGCAAGGGAAAGGTACCATTACCATCCTGGACACATACTTCAGATGTGCAGTTCACAGCATCATTCCCAGGTCCCAGGATAGGTGCTGACTAGATCAAACCTGCTGCTGCTAAGAACCAGCAGGGTGGGTCTCTCTTAGTGTGCAGGAACAGGATTCAGAGGACATGGGAGGAGGGACTGGTACACCTGGCTATAACAGCCTGGGACTCCTGAGCCTGTGGAGCTGTCGAGGAAGGGCCAGTGTCTGCCCTGTCTGTCCCTTCACAGACGTGAGTCAGCTCAGGTCTCCCCATCAATAGCAAACAAGTCCTCAGCATATAAGGTATCGATGCTGTTCCTGGGACACAGAACCTCTAGGAAGCCACCAAGTAGAAAGGTCAGAAGTCAGCTATACACAATGCTCTGTCACCAAGCCATTTTGTAGAATTCTGTCCAGACACTGCCTGAGACTGACGTCCAACCTTCATGCATAGCTCAAGGTTACAAGAGGCCCAATTGCCTCTCCCCAACTTCAAAGATACAGATGAGAGGGTATGCTAACCCTGAAAAAGGAGGACCAGCTCCCCCACAAGGAGGCCCTGCCAGGGTCAGCCACTGTGCTCACCTCTGCACGCGCTCCACCAGGTGCACCATCAGCTTGTCTGAGATGCCAGGACAGGACTCCTCAGCCAGGCTGAAGGCATTCTCTAGCTCCTCCAGGGCCCCCACGCTCCCACCACTCTGCTTGTGCTTCTCTTTGAGCTGCAGAGAGAACAGGAACCCAGCCGACATCTTACCTGAGGCCCACACCTGGAAGGAAGACCTACAGACCAATGGTGGCACTTCATGTGGGCCTGGGATGGGACTCTTGAGAACCCAGGTGACAGGAGAAGGGCCACAAAGGTCAGGACCAATAGCTTCTTACACACTCAAGGTCAAGAAGTCAAATCAAATGGACCCAGTCTCACTTTGACAGACAGCCCAGATCAGATGCCAAGCATCAGTAACCAATTCTGGGACCTCAAAACCCTGACAGCACTTCTACCTAAGGAGTCACTTTCTCAGCCCTGGGCAACACTGCATGCTGCCCATAACAGCCCTAAGTGGCTGTTACCCACGCTGTCCTCAGGGAGACTTAGCTATTTCCAGTCACCTACACCCTGTACTCCCACATTTGGGGCTCCAGGCGCTGTTGTAACCCACAATGGTGGGAAGATAAGCCTACAATGCATTTCTCTTTCTGTTTTTGTTTTTTCAAGACAGGGTTTCTCTGTGTAGCCCTGGCTGTCCTGGAAACTTGCTCTATAGACCAGGCTGGCCTCAAACTCTGCCTCCCGAGCACTGGGATTAAAGGTGTGTGCCACCACACCCAGCTTGCTGTGCTGTATTTCTGATGTTGGCTTTGACCTCCCTCAGCAGGCAACAGTGGCATACGTGACCACCAAGGAATCACCTCCCTGGCCTAGGACTAACCCAACATCAGTGATGCTTTGTCTTCCTCCACAGAAGAACCACGTGGAAGTTGGACATTGCAAAAACAGTCGTACTGTAATATCAGATGACTTTAGCAGTCTGGGAACACAAAAGGGCCCTGGCCAGGTCAGTTATTCCCACTAGTTTATGGTATGGTCCTTCTACTCAGGAAACCGGACACACAAGCCTGTGCATAACCAGCTGCAATAGACCAGGAAGTCACATGCATGAAGTCCAGGCTCAGGGCCCATTAGACACCACACTTTACTCTGCAGGGAGCTCCTCTAAAGAACAATGCTATTACCCCGCATGACCATACACTCAGGCCAACTCTCACCTCTCCAAAGACAGGCCGGACTAGCGTGGACAAGCACTGGGACCTTGGCTGTCTCTTGATAGGCTCAGTAGGCTGCAAAGGGGAAAGCAAGACACTAGGAACATGGAGATAAGAGGATCCCTTCCCTGCCTCCTCAATCACTGGCTTAAGCAGGTTGACAGAGTTAACCAAACTATAAGCCATCAGTTCTCATTAGGCCTGCAACTAAGCACCAGCAGACCTAGGCTTCAGCATGACTCCTAGCTAGCTCAATGCCACTCTGAGCTTAGAAACCACCTGCTCTCCTGTCCTTCCCAAGTCCTTTGTCCAGACCCCAGATATTAAGTATTTAAAAAGCCTAGGTCGAGGGCACTTTGGAGATGACTTCCTCAAAGCAGGACCCAGCCTGCAGTCCACATCTGCTGCCCCAGGGGAGTTGAGGCAGGGCTGGTACACACAGGCCAGTGCTCTGGCCCAGGGCATGAACAGACCTTCTGTGAGCTGTGCAGAGCAGTCCCCTTGTGCAGCTTGCTATGTGGACTTGGCCGGATGGTTGGGGGAAACGTCCAGATGGGACCCTGCTCCCCATCCTCAGCCTCGCCATCACTAAAGAGAATAAAGAATCAGAAGAGCTGACTGGAGACAGGGCTGGAAGTAACCATGGTGCCAAGGTACATCTGATCTCTGAGGCAGCCTCTTGGCCTAGGAGGCCCTAGGCCCCAGCATGTAGGTGACAGTTTAAGGGCCCTGCTCTTCAGCATGCAGTTCCTGCCCGATGTCAGCCCCCACCCCAGTAACTAGCTCTACCCTACCCCTGGAGGAAACCCTCCTGCCATCACAGCACCCAGGGAGCCTTCACTGACAAGAATAAACAAACAAACAAATGGTCCTACATGTCAGAATCCTCAGAACTGGACTCCTCGCCATGCCCCTCAGACTTCCAGCGCTTGTAGCGGTCTATGAGTTCAGTGAGAAAGGAGGTCTTCTTGGTGTAGCGTGTGATGAATTTGTGCTTCAGGAGCTCCTTGGCAGTGGGTCGCTGCCAGGAAGAGAGTCAGAGCTGAGTTCTCCCCTCACAACAGACGCAGGCAGGACAGGGAGGGAGGTGGAGGCTGGGCCCTGTCTCACCCCACCTTGACACCCTCCCTTCATAAGCTGGGGTGGGGTATGAAGCAAGTGGGGACAGGCCTTACGAATCGTGGGTCCTTATTGAGGCAGGCCTCTACAAACTCCTTGAAGGGTTTGCTGTGGTGGCCCTCCAACGTGGGTGGGTTATTCTTGGGAATCAAGAACAGGACTCGCATAGGGTGAAGGTCAGAGTTTGGCGGCTCCCCTTTGGCCAGCTCGATGGCTGTGATGCCCAGGGACCAGATGTCAGCCTAGACAGGGTAGCAGCACACACCGGACAGTTGTTACATGTAACATTCTGGGCTGGAGAGTGTACTCCCACTTCCCATCCAGGACTCACCTTGAAGTCATAAGCGGATTGCTTGATAACCTCAGGTGCCATCCAGAAGGGAGTACCCACGAACGTGTTCCTCTTGATTTGTGTATCTGTGAGCTGCCCAGCCACACCGAAGTCTGCCAGCTTCACATCACCCTGCTCGGAGAGCAGCACGTTGGCAGCTGCTCAATACATAACAGGTGGTGTCAGTCAGCCTTGACTCCTCAGCCCACCCCATTTAGCCCTGCATGCAACTCTTTCCCTACTGATGGGATGGTATCCCTGCCCCTGGGGACAGCAGCAGGGATGTCTTGGGACCTTGGTTTGTTTCTCTTGCCACTGTAGGCCAGTGGGCCACTGCTGACAGAAGCAGGCAAGCTGGGGGGACCTACAGGAGCAATTCCTATCTTTGCTCCAAGGTTTCCCTGTTTGCTTTTTCTGACAAACCCCAAAAACAGTGATATCCACATCATATCCAATCATAGTGACCTTAAATAACCAAAGAGTACAGCCAACAGGAATCAGGAAGTTCATCGCTGTGCCCACAAGGTCCCTCACTGTGACATAAAGGCTCAGCCATCCTCACCAAGTCACTTGTGGTGGGCTGGCCCGGCTTTGTGAGCCTTCATCAGGACTAGACTACAGAGAGTATGGCACAAACCCACACCTGATGTTGAGTCAAGGCTCTTGGCTGTGTACTAGGTGCACAACTGGTCTGCTTCACTATTCGAAGACTGAGATTATGTGGTGTGAGATTAGGAATCCCCTAGGTTCCATCCTCAATGTGGCCA